TTTTTTTTTTTTTTTTTCTGTGGAATTATCTTGGTACATGTAATTATATCGAAAGTGTGTTTTTTGTCAATGTTGTTTATAACAAATTATGCAATAATAATAATACTCTGTTCATTTTATAAACGTGATATATATCAATAATACGTTATGATGTGGATTTTCCACAACATAAAAGTAACTTGGTGATATTTGTAGTGTTGATTGGAAATCTGAAATATGGTGGGTGGAATAGAGTTTAGAATGTGTGTTGACCGACCATAAAGAAGCCATCGTTACAAGATGTTATGAGCAGTGAAGGTTACCACAAAATTTTCTTAGTTGCAGAAATGGCAATCAACAAATGCAAATGGCTCGACAATCTGAGAGCCTCTCATCTCCTCAATCTTTCTGTGTCACCATATGCATTTTCATTTCATGTCACCTAGCTAGCTGGGCCCATTCCCTTCATTTTTCTGGGTGATTTTGGAAAACTGATGCAATAATAAGGTGGCCCTGATTGTTAGCTGATTGCTAGCCTTGAATTATTTCCAACAAATATGAAAAATGACATTTAATATTTATCTAGACAAACACAGGATTATTTATGACATTTGTGGTCGTCATGTATTATTATCCAAGTGCACTCCCAATTTAATTATTATATATAAGTGGCTTAGCTTCCCTTTATCACCAGAATTCCATCTCCTTCACGTTAGTTACCTATGTCTGCTGTTGATGAGGCTATTACTTCTGCTCCCATTGGGCATCAGGCCACAAGACGAGCCAGCTGGCTGAGCCTCGGCTACAACCAAGAAACAGACTCCGCAAACGACACGCGCAACGTTCTCCTCATAGTAGCTGCCCTAATCACAGCTGTCACCTTCCAAGCTGGGGTCAACCCACCGGGCGGCGTCTGGCAAGATGATGGGAAGCCTGGCGAGCCCAACAAGAAGGCAGGCCGGGCTATATTCGCGGCCGAACAAGGGGCCTTCTATGTTTTCTTGGTGTCCAACACGTTGGCCCTCTCAACGTCCGTACTCGTCCTCGTGTCCCTCACCTACAGGTTCCCCTTCCATATCGAGCTGTGGGCAGCCATCGTAGCCATGTTTGTGACCTATGGGTCGGCCGTTTTCGCTGTATCTCCAGATGAGTCGGTTAAGTTTAGGTATCTGTTGGCCACAGCTGCTGTGCCCTTTGCAGTGAGGTTCTTCATGGAGATTGTCAAAAAGTTTTGGATTAGGAGAAAATCAACATGATCATCATCTCATGCTGCTGCTAGTTATTGTGTTGCGCCGGTTTTGGGTTAATTTGTGGAAATTAGTTGTCAAATTGTTGGTGTGTGTAAAGGAGCTGATCTTATGTATGTAGTAATATATACCCATGATGATATTTGTAGTGAAATCATGTATAT